ATATAACATTGGTACAGTTTAGATCGTCACACATTTATAAAAGGGAGATTTTCATTTTATCAAATATACGGGAAGCTTATCGGAACCCTTTAAGCATTTTCTCTTAAAGGTTACATGCAGATAGTTACACGCAGGAAAATGTTGGTACAATGCGTGTTGGTATTAAAGGCATTCGATATAACGCCTTTCGGTACAATGCACTTCAGTATAATGGGTTTCAGAATAATGCGCTGACCCCTGGAATTTGACAAAGGTGAGAAAATTGGTCCCATTTTTAGAAAACTGAGGCTTATTTTTTACATCTACATGTAATTTGTTTAATATGATCCCAAAAAGACCCATTTTAGCCCCTACTGATAAACCAGTGTTGGTAAGACATATTACATGAGATTTCAGATGTGATTATTTCATTTTCTTTCTGTCCAAAATTTGATTTTCAGTCAGTTCTTTACACAAAGGATCATTCTCAAGACAAGCCTATACATGTACATGTATATTACCTCTTATTACTCTGTCGTTTTTATTCTCTCCTGAGGTTTAAAAGATGGCCCTCAGTTCATTTTACGTATTTTCAGACGAAATATTGGTTACTGCCCTTATAAAAAATTCAACCTTGAAAGTCCGAATTTAAACCGTTTCCATCAATCATTGAATACTGATTGTTTCAACTACTAAGATCAAAGGAAAAACCATTGTACGGTGATAAGCAATCATTGTGCAACCATTGCATTCAACCAAACAAAGTCAACTCTTTTCAACGACTGCGCAACCATTTCTATACAATCATTGTAATCTGCAACCATTGTAAACTGCAACCATTTCACATTGAAATGTAAATGGTTGCAATACGTTTTGTTCAATGATTACATAGTTCAAGCCCTGCAACCATCCTGAATTGGTATTGTTACAAAAAAGTAATCATTTTACCTGAATTAAAATTATCTTTAAGTAAGGATTTGAATCTACCTCTATTCAACAACAGTATATTAGGATATTTTTTCTGCAAGCATAAATGCATGTTTATTATAGTAAATTACTAAATTCATGTTCATATGTTTCTTTCTCCAGTACGGATTTAGGAATGCGATACCAGACAATTAAAAGTACCATATCTAGTGTTTATTTCCCTTTATCTGATATTGCCAAAATAATGTATCTTTAATGTTAATTATGAAAAGAATTGAGCAAAATTCCAATTTGGTTAAGAAATTGACCAAGGAAAATCTTAAGATTTCCTTTAAACTTAACAAAATCACAAGATGAGACACAATGGTTTTTGTTCATGATTAGACTGATATACATGTATGATCAAAAGAAGCAGGATATGATGTACAAAATAATACAAACATGTAATCACAAGTTGATTGCTTTATTTAGTGAAAATGTTTTTATAGTAATAATGCATTCAGGCTGCAAAGACTTAATTTTCACAGTTTCAATTGGAAAACATCTGAATTAATAATTTCAGTAAAATTTTGTCAAGGTAGATGGATTATTGCTACACCCATGATATACAAATAGATTGGTTTGGGAACATATTGATATCGGAGGGTTTAGCTCAGGACCCCCGCAAAAGTTTATATACAATGAACAGGCCAGTAGCCAGCCCCCCCCCCAGCAAAATGGGTCTTCAAATGTGCCCATGTGTAGTTAACACCAAATATCAAGAGTATGACTCACTAAAATTTAAAAAATACAAACAAGAGGACTATTTTGACTGTATATTATGTGTGAAACACATTATTCACGACAGATTTAATTACCATGTTCTTTCTTGGCAAATATTTTTTATAACAATGCTCAACACAACAATACCTACTACATATTGATATTCTCATGAAAGAAAATCAAAATGCTTGAACAGCCAATTAAAACGGTTGAACAGCTAATTAAAACGGTTGAACAGCTAATTAAAACGGTTGAACGGCTATAATTAAAATGCTTGACCAGAAAAAGGGTTCATAGTCCTAGTTTCTGTTATATCTATTTTCATCTTGTGTTATACCATATATTTATTTTAATTCTCTATTTCATGCATAGGGGGGAGTTAAAATTTAAGAAGTGTTTTCAGATTTTTGAGGGTTTATTTCTTTATTCAATTACTTCAATAAGTGCTGAGAAATCTCAAATAGCAAGTATATGAAACTGCAAATAATATTTTCAGAATTTTTTATTTCATTTTTATTTAGTTTGTTTTACCAATTGATTGAAAGTCCATGGTTTTACTGTATTCACTAGGGCAGAGCATTTGTACTGAAAAGTGTTTTCAGTTTAAATAATATGTGTTGATGATTAAAAATTAACAACCAAAAGCAGGGCTTATTTTTCAAAACTCTAAACTTGGAAAAATCTGGAGGAAAATATGAGAGATTTTCTTTGGCAAATTATTTATCAAGTTCTGTGTATGGAATAATTTAAATTACATAGGATGCTTCCTTTATAGCAGACTCTAATCAAACTGAGAGTCTCTCTGTAATAAGGTTTGTTTTGCCTTGCCGAATTATTTTTGTTTTGTTTATGGATTAATAAAGTTTCTTTAGACACATCCTTCAAAGCAGACTCTAATCAAACTAGATAGACTGAGTCTTAACTTTAATCAGAGTTTTTTAAGTTATGCTTATCGACTTAATTATTTAAAACACATCCTGTAATGTCTGATTGCATTTTCTCTATCAAATCAAAATATCAAATCAAAACAGATTATTTTCCCATTCAAGGATTTCTTCCTTCCAGACAAGGTGAAGTGTAAAATCCAAGACTTGACCCAATCAAAATTTTTTCAAATGATTTTGCAATAACTTAAAAAGTAGTGAAGTGATTTTGTAAAAATGATAGTCATGACAAGCTATGCCTTAGCATTGCTGTTATCTAGATAATATGCATGTGAGTTAGACAATCACCATCCTTCAAAGTTAGATGAAAATTGGTTCAATATATTTTCATTCACAAGACAAGTTTACTAAACTATTTCAATACTTTAAATATCTTTTTGATCAAACCATTTAAATTCTGAAATGTATGCATGAAATATATTTTTTAAAGAGCAAGATAATTATTTTATGTTGTATTGAGATAAAATTGCCATAGTTTTAAAGGATTGCATTTGATTGAAACGGTTGCAAGAAATGCAACCAAAATTGTCAAGCGTTTACAATGGTTACATATGATTGAAACATTTTCAATGAGTTTACAACCAAAATTGTAATGGTTGCATTGTAACGGTTGGCATGGTTGCATAAATGATCGGATCAATGATTGTACAATGAATGTGCAACGGTTTAAATTCGGACTTTCAAGGTTGAATTTTTTATAAGGGTGGTCAGATGTATATGGGTTCAAGATGCTGCCCTGTCAACCCTCACACATTAGCCCATAGATATGGCGTATCACAGTGTTGATATGGCTTTCGTATTTTACTAGTGACATTTTCAGTGGATTATCTTTTTTGGCCTTTCTGCCTGTGATAATGATGTAATTGTAAATGACATTTCAGCTAGAAGGTAAAAATTCATTTTGTGTTGATTTGAGGGTAACTGTCTGAATGGTTCAAAAATGCTAAGAACAGATGTTTTAAATGTATCCACCATGGAGCATTTTGCATCTATTCAAATGGCCTCTGGAAAGATATGAATCTAGCAAAGTCAGCATCTCTAACATATTGCATAAAAATGGAATGCAATTTACATCATGAATAACTTACAATATTAGTGCCTGAGGCATTTTTATATTCAAAGTAATATCAACTTATTGCTAATTTCTGAGTATTATTTTATTATCGTTATGTTTTCTACATTTCAGGAGATAGACACGGTGGCAAATGGTGAGCCCACATGGTTAATGTGACAGCTATTTTAATGAATGAAGGGTCACTCAAATAGAAACTCATTAAGTAGATGGTGTATTTTTGAGAAAGATTGTTAGCCTGTTCTTAAACTCTCACTGCCATCTATATATGAGGATAAATTCTAAACTGACATTATGCAACAACATTTTGAAACTGTGAAATTTTCAGATAACTAATCCAGATGTTCATTTGGTTGAAAGGTACAATAATTTATAAATTTTTTCAATATGTCAGTTATATATTTATGGAAGTTTACTTATTTAATAGCCTTCACCGAGGAATTACATTCCGATGATGGAAAATTGACGCCCCTTTTCTGAGAAGGAAAACACATCTGATGGACCTTGATTTGGAGACCAGATACAAAACTGTTTTAGTCTTGAAGTTGATTTGTCTAACTACTATAGCAACACATGACCAACTATGCCCCTACATGTGAATTGTATGTGGATTGAAAAATAAAAAAAATGAACAGGTGACCAAGCCCTTTCCCTTTTGATTTAAAACTACAAAAATACAAATTGAAAGAAAAAATGTACATCATGAAAATGCCACAAAAAGGTTTGACAAGGGAGGTTGTGGGATAACCAGGCAGAAATTGTATTTAACTGATCTATTTACTTTGTAAGGGCCTAAATTTGGAAGGATGATGCATGCTGGGATGGCATAACCCTGTGTGATGTGAAACAATCTTATAACAAACAATGGCCTGTATGATTTGATATCAAGCAATAACAAAAAAGCAGCCTTACATAAATTATACATCAGTGCACATAGATGTATGATTGTACAGTCTCATGGTCACATTTTGAAATGCAAATATGGTAAAAATAATTATTAAGATCTGCTAGCAAGTCCAGACTACTTTAAATAAACAAGTTATCACAAGCTAGTACTCAGAATTATAGCTTAACAATGAATGCTCAGAATGAAGAACACTTTTAATGTCTTTAAATTGTGTAAACTTTTATGGGTCATAAAATAAGCGGTTGCATGTCATACTTATTTATGTGACATCATTACTATTGTAAACATTTTCAATAGGTCTGCATTTCTAGTTTCCTTTCAACTATGATCCCGTGCTATACCTTTATTTTCAACCTATTTTGGCATTCAAAACATGACCATCACACAGATATATCTTCATAAATCTTACCATTTCGCTGTGGCTTCCTCCTGATGGATTCTCTGACGAGTTCTGTACCTAACAAAAAGCACAATATTTGTTAGATGAGATGAGATTTCAGTAGTTTAAGGTGATCCAAGCCAAAAGAAACTTAATTTACAAATTAATTTATGTAATTTGCTGAAAAATATTTTTCAAAAATATTCTAAATACTGTATGCTTTTATTTCTTTTTCTGTCAAAAGTATCTAAAACTAAACCAAAATATGATCATTTGTACCTGAGAGATTTATGTTGTTTTGAGTTTTCTCTTGGAGATTCTTGTAGAACCATTCACCTGATGCATATTGAAGTTCCCTGAAATATAATAAATATTTAAGTCTCTTTTTTTAGTTCATATACATTATAAGGTTTGTGTTGTTCTATTTTATAGAATTTTGCACTGAGCAAAAATAAAGTTCTTGAAATTGATTTTAGAAACGGGGTGCAAATGCAGTTTAAATGTTAAAAAAAGCCAATTCTACCTACATTTACAAATTTGTAAAAATAATTGTCAAAATGCATTGCCAAGAAAATATCGATCTTAAATTCTAAAAAGGGAAGAAAAAGGCTTGACTTGATAACTTCATAAAGAGTCGAATCTAAACTGATATCTAATTTATAATAGCATTGTACTTACATTTGCTTGAAACAGAGAGTGCATAGCCACTTGCCATCTTTGGCGACCACCTTGCATAGTTTACAAACTTTACTGTGGCACTTTGGACACATTTCACCAGAATTGAAAAAGAAACCAAGCTCTGTACGGCACCTTGAGCATGTCTTCTCAGCATTTTGATCTGCCTTGACTGCCCCCTTTATTCGAATTAGTTTGATTTCAGCTTTGAGTTTACTGCAATAGACATAGATACACATTATAAGGAAGCACCATCTTTTAATCATAATGGTAGTATCCAAATGATGAAGAGGAAGCTGTATAATTGTTGCAAGGGTTGACCAAACCTTGCAATATACAGTACTCATTTTGCATTGTCATTCCTGGAACTGGTGAATTCATGGCAGTAAAGGGCTATCTATTTTGGTTACAACCCCTGAAACAGAGGATTAAATTACAGTATTCTCATACATGATTGGTTATGGTAGTGAAAAAAACATAATGGAAACAACTGAAATACATTTTTCAAATTGTCCTTTTTGACCAATAATGATGGTATCTGGTCAATGTTTAGGCCTGGATCCTTAATGTGACCTTCCTTGATGATATTGATCATATACAATTTCATTACATCTGAAAATGGAGTATTCAATAAGTAAATCATTTTTGCATCCTGCTACTATATGTGGCTTACTCATGAATAAATTATATAAATAAATTAGATTCAGTTTATTCACAACATGTCTGGAATAATTATTTTTCATTTATATTCATCAATGGTTGATCTTATGATTAATTCAATTCAAATGTCAGTTCTGTAATTACAAATTGTATATTGAAAATAAGCTGATAATCTGTGAGAAAACAATTATGAGTCATGCCTTTTAAAAAAAATTTACATCAAATTTGAATGAAATGTCTATAATTTTCTTGCATTTCTATACAATTGAGTATATTATCTTTATGACTGTTTATTTTATTCCTCCCTGATTCCACTCTTTTACATAGTATTTAACACTTTAAAATATGTCCATCGTGACATTTTTCTCTCGAGTGATGCATATTTTCTATACATGTAAGTTCAGCAATTATGTTTTGCTATGCAGATTTTGTAATTTTACAATTAAGCCATAAATTATGAGATGATGTTTCTGATAATAGAGTATGATTCATAGCAATGTATAAGCCAAAGTGAACATTATAATTCAGAACATCGATTATTTTAATGACTTAAATGTAACAGCAGAGACCTCCCAATCACTAAAGCAAATGGATGCTACAGACAAATAAAGCTATACAAGCCCTCATGCCCTCCCTACTACACACCTCCCCTCCCCTGTGTGAGAAGTTTCCATACCTGTGTAGTCAAGTAGTGGGAGAGGGGAGTCACAGGGGCTTGAAGCTAGACTACATCCAAATAAGATTTGAACAATTGAAATATACCCTCTTCTTATTTCAACGTGAAATTCTTAACTCAAAGCCAGAAAGACACGATTTATTTTCATTGATTCAGGAACTCAGGCCGGCATCCAAATATACATAGTTTATAAAGCATATTTACTTCTACTTGGGAACAAAGGTTTAGCTGTAGAAATCGTTGTTATATCCTGACGTGATCAACAGGTTCTGGATTGTAATGCAGATAAATCTATGACGTGCAAACAAAATCGTAAAAAGTTTAACTTTGATTATTTTGCAATATAACAATCCCCTCTCAAAAGTCAAGATGTTTTCTTGTTTTTGTACAATAGGGTATAAAATGTTCATAACATAAAAATCATATGAATGAAAGATATTATTGCAGTTATCAGAATGTGTCACTTCTCTTGCATTGAACTGCTTACAATTTGTCATCAATTCAAATCAAAACTTTATTATCATTTATGAAAAAGGTTTAAGTTTACGAACATATATTATTCTATGTATCTATTGAAATAAATGTTCATGATTTTAAAAGATGTGAAACTTTATCCTTACAAAATTGACATTAAGAACTGAACTTCTTTTTATTAGACTTTTCATCAATAGGAGGGGGTTAGGGTAGACATGGATTTTAATCTAAATAAGAATGAACTTGGAAATAATAGTATCATTTCATTTAATTCAATTATATTACAATTTGCAAAGATTTCGATGTCTTGAATTTGTAGGTACAGAACCTGTTTTTGAAGCTGTCGGAATACTGGATCAATATGAGATTCTTCAAGTCCAAGGTTGAATAAATTGAACAATAATTATATAATTAAAAAGTCAACCCTGGCTACCTAAAGAAATCTAATTCAAGAGGTGCCAACTTATTAAAAACAGTGAAAAATAATGATATCACACAAGGCACTAATATGCAAAATGTCACCACCTAGCATTTGTTAGACGCCGAATGTGGAACGTCAGATGCCAACCACCATCACAAAAATGGAGACAATAACAATATGTCAACACTTTTGGTGGTGACATAAAAACATTAATCCCAGGGTCTCCTATGATTTTTTAATATATCACAATTTCAGTAGAAAAGAGATACACAAAGGCAAAAATGTCTTTCATTTGAAGGATTTTCAGAAAATTCAGGCAAAAACATTTAACAATTTCAAGCTGTATCTTACTGCTTTACATGTAGCTTAGAGATGTTTATTTCATTTCTGGCTTGTATCCAAGACTATCCCCAAAGTAAAAGTTGGCCTTGATCCATGTTCAGCTTCTTTTTTCAGAGTTCTGAATGAAATTCTAGTGAAATCCCTGGGTGGCACATATACCCTGCAGGAGAATACTTAGGGCAGTAACCTCAAAAGTAAAAGTGTTTTTAAAAACCCTGCTTTCAATGAACAAGTATGTTTTTAATACCCATGAATTAAAATGTCACTTTAGCAATACTTATTTTATACCATTCATCTCAGAATATGATTAAAATTCCAATTTTCCATTGCATTTCCAAATACAATTATCTGTAGACCTAATTTGAGTTTGTTCAACTCATTAAAAATTCTACTTGTCCATTTCCACTTGTATTTTAAATGATAAACATTTAGATATATTTCAGGGGTTTAATAAAGCTGTCATTGCTAATGTATCTGTGTAACATATTGCAAATGAAATATGAATTAGTTGTATGAAGTTGCAGATGCAAATATGAATAAAAGCCATGCTATATGAGGATAAGGTAAAATGAAAAATTAAGCATATCCATGTATGTACATAAGAAAAATCAATATTGTCAAGATTTCTGGAAACTTTTGGCAGCTTCGGATATTCTTGTTTACCATTGTGTTGTCTCTTTTATTTTCAGACAGATGTGATAAATAAACTAGATTAATGACTTTTTACTGTGACCTTGCTATGCTTGGCTAAGCCCAACAAGTAATCAGTTCATGTATTTTAGATATAGGCCTGCATCACACAGTGTATAGGCTTGCATGATGACTTCATGTGCATTAAAGGATGTATATAACTATCTAGGCATTAGAAAACGTTAAAAACGACTTTTAAAGGATAATCATCAATTTGATTCCTTTTCATTGAACTAAATCTAATAAATACACTTTCGATTTCCAATTGAATGTCAAAGTGCTCTAATAACAAAAGTGAAAGTGTTTGGCCGTTGTCAGGAATTCCCCAAACCAAATGTCACAATGAATGTCTCCATATCATCCAAAGTATATTGATGACGTACTACTCGTGGTCAGCTCTTGTGGAAATCCAATGTAATATGACGTCATTTCCACCAACAATATAAATGTATTTGGAGAAACCTCCCAACTCTTAGTGGATTCCCCAGATTTTTTTTACATTTGAATACAAAATTATCCCTAACTAGGGTATAATAAGCGTTAGATTCCTCATATTAATATTAATACAATATAATAAAAATGCATTATGCTGTCAAGTAATAAGCCCAAAAACGGCAATGTTATTGTATTTGATTTAAGGTGGGCCACTCATTAAATACACTGGACGAAACTTTCTGAAAATTGCAAAAAGTAAGGGTCGTTGTAACAGCTCCCACTCCGTCAATATTTTATCAATTTACGTGATAAAAGATAAATAAGTGATGAAAAGTATTACACATACACGGCAATATGCTGAATCAAGGCTTTGAAAAGGTGTCAAAACACTTTGATAGTTATATACAACCTTTAACTTATCTCCTCTTTAACTACTTGGCCTACTGCTACCCAGAATCAGCCCCTGCATTGCAAATTACATGGTCACACGTTTTCAAAGAAAACAGTTAATCCAATCGCACATACACTACTAATTACGATTATGATGTGTCAAACTTGTCGGGTAATTGCGTATGTCAACCACATCGGCTTGTTGCTAGTGCCCCACAGGAGTTTGATTGCAGTATAAACCATGATGTCTTTCAAAAGAATCATGTGAGTGTAAGTGCACTTGGATGAGCTATTTTTGTTGAAAACACATGAGCATGTAATTTGCTCTGCAGGGCTTATTGTTCTTTTTAGTGATACCTGGGGAGAAAACTCATCAAAATATTACACAATTCACTTGCACCGCGGTCATACAAAAATACAGCCTTAATCCTTGAATGTATACTTATTCAATTATGTCTAATATCTTAAACACACAGTTACATATATACTGTACCTGATATTTTTCTCATTTGCCTTTCTTAGATCGTCATCTCTCTTCAGAACCGCCATGATCTGGTCACGCTCCGACTCAGTCAAATGATTCACATCGATTTTTACAAGTTCTGCCATTTTGCTATCGGTAGGTAAACCACCACGTTTATATTTTGTCATTTTACGTCTTTTTGTTTATTAATTATATCTTGTATTCATGACTCATTTAGAGTACACACATCTCCAGTTGTAGTGTTGCATAAGATTTGCGTTGGTTGTATAAATTGGTAAAATAATGCTGGTCCAAGGAGTATTTCACTATCTGGAAGACAGGTGTTCCGGGAGGCACGATACAAAACAGGAAGACTTTTTTGCAAATTGTATTATTGCTATAGATACCGCTTGACATCAAAACATCCAATCACTTAATCCTGAATTTCTACATATGCATTTCACATCATATATTGAAGGCTGTATGTTCATCCTATAACACTTCTTTACTTTATGTATGTAAGTATGTAGGTTACATTACATATACATGGCTTTTGAAAGATGACATACTTCAAATAAATGTTAATCCAAAGATCCTAAGGCACAAGTCCAAAACTGTGGACATTTCACTATATACTCGTATGTACATATGCATATGTATCCGTGTATGGATTAACTAGACCAGCTCTATTTGATTTAATAACTTTTTCTCACATGCTGGTAGTGAAAATGAGAATATATGGGCTGAACTCAATGTTAAGTGCAATGTTATGTTTCCAATATATTAACTTTTCCTATGCTGTTTATATCTACTAAGACAGCAGCTTCTTATATGTCCATATATAGGGTTTCTATCGTTTGGATGAAAGTTCAATCATTTGAGATGAAGTTGTCAAAACTTTCTATAAAAAGTTTCTATTTTCCATGAGTAAGTTTCTTTTGTCTATCTTTAAGGTTTCTATTGTTCCCCGAGTGATTGTAGGTGGGGTATATTCAGCCTGAGACAACTGGGAGACAGCCTCACTGAAATAACAAAAACAAAACAAAAAAATTAAAGTACAGTGAAACCTGTAAAGTGGAACGCCTCTGTTAGTGGAACACTTTTCAGTCTCAAGACCAACTGACTCAATGTTAAATGGACCTCTGTAAGTGAGCATCTAACAAGTTTAACACCTTTCAGAGGTACCATATGTGTTTGCATTGATCCAACAATATGGATGTCAAAAGGCTATAATAAAACTAGAAATGGTAAAACATATGTTCCCATTGTTAGGTCCCAATAAATGTTTATGAATAAATAGATTTAACGAAATCACAGGATATTAACATAAACATTTTAACGAGATCTTATGTTTATATCAAAGATTTATATTAAGCTGAGCGTAAAAACTGTTACGTAACAAGAATGGTAAACATTTATTATGAATTCCATGTGAGGTATTATATATTAGTATAACTCAATATTGTGAAACATTTTATAAATCCTATATGTGCTTTAATTGCATTATCAGGTTTATAAATTCTTGTTCACTCCATACATATTACATATATGCTATGTTCTAAGACCTCTGATGACTGTAAAATTATATACATGAAAATATAACCACCCTTGGTATACGCAGCTAACGAAAATTGACCGGTACGGGTCAAAAGCTGGACCGGTACGGGTTAACCGTTTTATTTGAATTTAAAATAGCCATAACTTGCTCAATATTGACTTCCTCGTGTCTAATTTGAAATATATGATGCCTCCCGATGCTTTCAAGTACCCCAATTTTTTACAGATTTTTAAACGGACCAAAACTCTCTAAATGCGCATTTATGCTCTTTTCTCTCGAGAACGACTGTCTCATTTTCACGATAACTTTTATTTAGTACTTCTAACATATAAGATATATTTTTCCCCATCAAGGTATGATGTAAATGACATGCTATTTACATCTTGTGAGTTTCAATGACGCGCGTTTGATTTTATAAAAAATGCCAAACTTTGTGACAAAGAATTTCATCAGCTATTGCCCCGAACCGGTCCGTCTTCTCGCTGCAAGCAGATTGCCCCGAACCGGTCCGTCTTCTCGCTGCAAGCAGGATGAAATTCATATAACAAAGAAGGCAAAATTGAACCATTTTAGGGACAAAATATATGTGTATTTTAGTAATAACTTTATTTTAGTGTTATATCCTCCATAATTTTCTTACTTTTTAGTCTTGCAACGAGACCCTGCAACCTTCTGCTTCACTCTTTTTCAAAAATAGGGAGTTAATAGGTCTTTAATTACAGCTATTTTCTGCTGTACACCAGCCCTTAGCACAAGATTTCACTCAGTGTTTCAATATTAACTGAGAGACAAATAAATAAATGATTTCTGGAAGATTTGTTCCTATTCAGTCCTATTGTGGCAGTAACTCAATATACGAAATTGAATGGGACCCTAAGTGAATCTTATATCCATGTTACAATCCTGAAAGATACATCAAGACCGTAATTTTCTATTGTAGTCGTTCTAACAAAATTATGGCCCTGTGATTATAGTAAATACCCTCTGACAAGCAGTTAGTCATCTTAAAGTGGCAGTATGTGGTTTTAAATTTAACATTAATCTTCACAAATAAACCAGAAACATTTTCCAGCATATTTGTAGCATGTTCCTTAGATCAATTTTATTTCTGCACTTCTTAAAATTTTGGAATAATACCCAGAAGCCCACCCTTTCCATTCATTCAACTTCACTTCTTAAAAGAGAGCTTCGTCTTCACTCTTTCAGTTTACAATAAATCTCTGAACTCGCCGCGCTAATCAGAGTTCGTCATCGAAATAAGGACGACATTCTATATGGTCATTTTCTCTGACGTAATCGCACAATTAGTGTGCATGCATTTAGCACGTATTCCTTCCAGCTTGCTGATTGGTTGAGAATCAGTCAGTGTGGTAGGTGTGGAATAATTCATGACCCGAGCTGTCGTGGGCATCAGCCGTGGGGGCGGGGCTACTTACTGTAATATCATCTATACTAGGCAGAGGGTAGTATATAACTAGACTATACGCGCAGGGTACCAGAAGCCTGGAGGATTGTAGTAAACAAAGCTCTCTTTTACATGATTTTAAATTGGGCACACTGACACTTTAAGTTCCATCCTGAGGCAAATGAGCATTTTGACATGACTAGGTCGGAACAACCTAAACTTTGACAGAGCATGATGGTTACCACTTTAATTAGGAAATGCTTTCTGCAGAATCGACAGACAAATGATATTTGTGACCTATGACACGCCAAAAATAGAAAAACCTGCTTGCTATATCAGTGTATTCTTTATGAAAAACATTTTTTAAGCTGGGCATGAGATTTTATAAAAACAATCCGTTTTCCCTTTCTTAAGTAACATGAAACATCCGTCATTATTTGTATCTTTAATATACACAACATCTAAATTGACACACTTAAAAGGCTCAGTCCTAGCCAGATATTCCCAGTTAGTGAATATATTGCTGTTCTTATTATGTATCATACTGAACTCAAAGTTTGACATATAATGACATAAAGGGACCGAGAAGACTTTAGATGTATAACTTGTTGATTGTACCCTGCATGCAGAGTCTAGTTGAAACTACACTCTGCCTAGTAGAGACCATATTACAGTTTAGTAGCCCCGCCCCCACGACGGGTACCGGTGATAGTTTCGGTAATAAATCACTGGCCTTTCTGGCGCTGGCCTTTCTTCCACCATTCATCGCGCTTGATGAAACATACGCCAAATGCGTTCTAATCAAATATGCGCATGTCATTGGTCAATTCTGGGCTCAACAATGCCGTCAGAAGGAATGACCATATATAGAACGTCGGTCAAATTTGGCCGACGAACACTGATTGGCGCGGTGAGTTCACAGGTTTATATTAGTTTAAAAGAGTGAAGACGAAGCTCTCTTTTAAGAAGTGAAGTCAAACAAATGCAAAAGGTATGTTGATTGATAAATGAAAAATAAAAAGATTTTCATATTAAAAAGCTCATTCCCCAAACCAAAATATGATGCATGATCAACAGAAAATCTGATGTAAAAACATGTATACCAGCTAAGAGAAGAAATATGGTAAATCATTGAGAATACACCAGAATGACATTTAATATACAGTATTTTGGCAAAAATTTTGTAATACGCTGTATTATTTACATTTTGAACAATTTCATTATTTTAGTAAAAATAACTCATATTTTATTAATATGAGTTATTTTTACTAAAATAATGAAATTGTTCAAAATGTAAATAAAACATAGCATATAGGCTATTGGCCTATTGTAGAATTATCTCATAATTTATTGTTTTTGACTTCGTGTTAAGTGTTCAATATAGTGGACTGAACAATGAAAATCCCCCCCCCCCCATCAACAATATCCTCGAAATTAGAACACCTGCCAATTTGAACGCTTTTGGCTGGTCCCATGGGTGTTCGGATTAGACAGGTTTTACTGTATGCATAACTGTGCTACAAGGTTAATACAAAGTAAATATATCAACTGGTATTAGTCCAGCACTTTGTGATACAAATCATGCAAATAGCTGAATTGAAAAAATCAATTAATTCAAACATAATCCAGGTTTTCATCGATTTTCTCATTACAGCATTTTTTTAAATAATGATGTTAGTCTCTATGTATTAGAAAGGCCGGTGATATTATTTAATTATTGTGAGACATTCACCTTAAAGGGACTCTGTCTCTAACTCAAATCCTAAAACTATATACCAACTTAAAACAAGGCATTAACATGCAAATGTCACTACCTGCCATGTGTTACAGATGCAGGACAACAAATGCCGAACACCAACCATAGAACACTGTCTACGAAAAGTTGGAGACTATAACATCACCACTTTGGGTGGTGACATAAAACTCTTTGGTACTGCTAGCTAAAAGGGAAAGCCTCAGTCACTTTTGCTCTATAGCCGGCTATATGATGGCTGTAGCTTCTCAAAATTGATATACTGTAGAAAATCTACATCGTACTGCTTATCCCTGTATGCTGCTTATCCCTTTATGCTGCATACTTATCTTGATTTTGGGAAGCTATGGACTCAATAGCGTTGCCGTAGATCAAATGTTATGCTTAGGTCACAGTCACATTTGCTCCAATACATCAGCCGGCGCCTGGGCGATTGAGTATTTTGTTTAAAATTAAAGGTCAAATCTCAGATTTAAGTCAGGTGTGAACTCCTGAGAACTTGTTCATGATTTAAAAAAAATGTTTGGTCAATTTGAAGCAAGTGGAAATCCATTTTGAAAAAAACACTGCAATCGGCCGGGCGCCGCCGATGAATCTAAGCAAATGTGACCTAGGCATTACTGAGGCATTACTGACGGATTTGACCAACGTGTTATTTTGCAGGTACTTTTTTAAAGCATTCATTTTTTAGAGAAAGTCTATTTTACTTGATAAATGAACAGAAAAAATGAATGACGAGTAAACATTGAAGTTGTATGCCACTATGGCTTACATGTTAATGCATTATATGAAAGATTTGAATAGTGTTAACAAATAAAAAAGGAAGTTCATGCTTTTGCCTTTCTAAGCGTGTTACAATTTAACAACTCTTTTTACCCTATATTTAGTAAGTTATTCAGTGCCCAGATTGAACTCTTTACAATACAGAATGAAATATGTACAAACACCTTTAAATTCCTTTAAATAAATCTTTCAATTAAACTTCAGTTTTTATCAATAACAAGACCCCAAAAAACCTATAGCTGTAAATGTAGACTTACCTTTAATATACAGTATACTGTATAATATTAAGTTTTTAACAGGTATACTGCATGACCAGTCAATTACATGTACTAGCTAAGTCACCCATTACAAAATAATGGATTGAACCATGTGTATTCGGTTGGTATTTATGATTTCAAAATTGGACTTAAAAATAAACCCCACTTCCAATCAACATGACCAGGTTTATTATATACATATTGTATATTGTACTGTATGAGCAGAATGTAACAAACATATTGATTTTAAAAATATACACTGACAT